ATTGGGTCGAGAATGGCCAAGTTTCTCCTTTTTCTTTGGCGGGAAAACATGTACGCATGCTCAAGACATTAACATAATGTATGCATTAGATTCGACACGGCAGAAATTCGACGTCTGAATCGGTGTCGCATTTCTGTCGGATAATGCGACAAGACCAGTCGAACGTGCGGCAGANGATGCGGCAGCCGATTTAGACGTCGAGTTTCTGTCGAATTTAATTCGATGAATTGAATTCGACACGGCAGAAATGCGACGTATGAATCGGGCCTCAGCCGCCTTTTTGTTAAGCCAGGCTTTCGTTTGTTTTGCGTTCGTTTGGCTGTTCATTATTTTGCCGTGTATTTGGTTTTAGGAAGTTTAATTAATTAAGCAAACTTCAACGGTAACGGCAACTAGTACAATGGCTGTGTAAGCGTGCGTTATAATTGTTCGTTCATTTCTTTGCCGTTGTTTACAAAAGGTCACAAGACAACAACGTGAAATAGCCACACTCTGCATATTCGGGAGAACGTTAACTATACAACGGCCAATTTTTAAAATTTCTCTTTCGAATTTCGTAGTTATCTTACATATTCTATTTGGGATATTTCTGACAGTATAGACAACCTGAATGAATCTAATTCTCGCGAGATCATTGAGTCGTGTTTTAATCAACCTTGTCCTTGGCGTTGTTGCCGTTGCTGCTTAAACTGCTTTTTGCTACTTTGACAGCCAGCGTCTGCCAGCACTCTCGACCACCTGTTTGGTCGGTGGTCAACCTTGTGTTTGGGCGTTTTTTTTTGCTTTGCACTCGTTTGTCTAAACGTCGCTGCCGTTCATTCAGTTGTTACTGTTTGTGCAGGGGACATCCGTCTCTTATTCTGCTTATTTAAACTCCTACAAAAGTTTCGAACTGTATTAAAACATACCGAGAGCCGAAGCTCCTTTGCTTGAAATCAAAATATCAAAGAAGACATCTCCACAGCATTGGAGGTTTTCTTTTGCTTTGAAACGAAACGAAACAAAACATAAACAGATCCTCCACGAAAACATCCACGCAACGCGCGAGTAACTTATCCGCGGAAGGACTGGGTACAATGTCTAAAAATAACTTAAGAGGGATTACCTTGGGTAGAAGGCCTATATGGGGGATTCATTCTCTTACCTTGATAATCTCTTGTTCAAAGTAAATAGTAAATAGAGTCATCAAATCGTGGCAGACGTGACCACCATTTTCTGGTCTTTTTCGTCCTTTTCTTGACCTCTGATGTCCTTGATCTTCGTTGATCTCATGGTACTATAGGTCCAAACAATTGTGATACAAATTATAGGAATAAGTCAATTGAAAATAGCTTAACTTTACACAAGGACCATGAGCTTCAGTATTATTTTTGTCCATTTTGTCGACCGATCACTTTTAACAGTGCATCCGACCAAAAGAATATGACACACCATATCCGAATCCGGCCATCGTATAAAAGGTCTGAACGAATTTTGTCCAAAAGGGCTGAAACGATAAACCACGTTAGAGTTTGGTGTAATTTTATACCGCTCGAGAAGACAGTTGTGTAAGTAACGAGAGACTACACAAGGGAACCGTTTGTGTGACACTTAATGAGGGTCATCATAAAGACCTAACTGAATTCAAAAGCCACGTTATATCCTATACAGACATAAAAACGTTGCCGCACAGAAAAGGATTTCCAGGTGTAAAGCTTTGACACCACTATTGCCTGTATATTAGAGCATGGCAAAGGTGGCGTAAACGTCTTCTCAATTCCTAGACAAGATCTCTGCCAACTTAGCCTGTGAACAGGCTACCAATTGTGTTATAGGGGAAGGGAGAACACGGGCGGGCAGAGATAACCGAGAGTGGTCTGGAGAGGGAAAAATCCCACGCCGCCAGGCTCGCTTCGCTCGCCCTATTTAATTTCTTTCGCGCTCGTCGCCAAGTGCGGGAGCTTGCTCACTTACAGACGGTGAAAACTCTCTCAAATTATCCAGAAGCCTCATGGATACAGACCGAATCTCCCGGTCTCCCGTACGGGTCACCACTTTTATTTTCGGGGGAAAATTATTGGAATAGTTAATATTATGATCAATGGTGTCAAAAGCTTTAGCTAAGTCGAGGAAAACAACGGATGTGACAAGGCCATTATCAGTGTTGAAGTACCATTGATTGGTAGTGTCAAGCAAAGCTGTGGCGGTCGAATGTATATAACTATCGAAAGCTTGATTGATGTTTATTTAGCAATTTGGTATCCGAAAGGTATGAACAGAGCTGGTTGTAAACAAGCCTTTCCATAATTTTAGAAATAGAAGATAATGGAAACTGGACGATAATTGTTAAGATTTGTTTTACTGTTGCCCTTGTGGAGTGCAAAAACCTTTGCAATTTTCCAATCGCTATAGGAATATAACCAGTAGGGATAGAACTGTTAAACAGTAAACAAAGGGGCTCGGCAATAATATCCACTACGACCTTGAGTAATTTGTTTGGAATGCGATCGAGACCGGCAAATTTTTTAGGAGATTCGACACATCACTCGGATTAATACAGGTTAATTGAAAAACGGATAAAGCTGGGGTTATGAAAAGATTAAAAGCCTTGGTAGTGCTTGGAAGTTTCGAGGCTAGACGAGGCCCGATATTCGTGAACTGGGAATTTAGGAAATTAGCAATTTCGTCTTGATTGTTGATACATTGTGTTTCATCGACATTAATTTCGTTGATCCTACGATTATCAGTTGAGTAAGGCGGGACGAAAGTTTGGTCACCAAATTTTAACGTAAAAACCCTGTTGTTGTCACAAGCAACTGGCTCCGTATCCATTGGCAACTTGTCGGCCTTTGACGTCATTGCACGGCTGTTGATATTGTTACCAACGGAAACGAGATAAGTTGCCCGTGACAACATCATAATTTTAAGGCCAAAACTTCGTAACCAAACTTCCTTCGTACCTTACTCAACTGATAATCGTAGTAATTGAGTCTACCTGTAATTGAATTAATTGTTTTCCAAATTTATTTGGGATTACTTGAGTTTTCAGAGAATTTAGCGTTTTATAAGCGTTTTTTTGAATTTTTAATCTCTCTGTTAACTTGGTTTCTAAGCGATTTGTATTCTCACCGAAGTTTGGAATCGTTACGTTTTTGAGCGTTTAATTTAGCTTTGTCTCTCTTGACAATAAGTGCCGTGATGTTACGAGTGAGCCAAGGAGAAACCTTCTCATGAACTCGCTTTGTTTCTGGCGGAGCGTATTGATCAGCTGCAGAAAGAAAAATATTTTTCCAGGTATTACACAAATTTTCAGGATCATCGCAATGTTTCAGAGTTTTCCAAGGGAGCTTGGCTAAATCATCATTCGAATAATCATTGTATGAAATGTATTTATGAGATTTGCCGGCTGTAACTGATACTTTGCCTACTGCATAAATAGGATAATGACGGTCTCTGAAACTAGTGTGGAGAACCCAAGAGCAGGAAATTTTGCTGGGGCCGGTTAGTTCATATAACATCGATTGGTGATGCACTTGAATGGGATACCCGTGTCGGTGTTTTGATAGGTTGAGACACTTGATATACCTCGGTAATGGACCTAAGGGTAATGTAATTATTATTATTATTGTAATCATTATTATTATTTTGATTATTATTATTTTGATTACTTGAAAGGTAGCTACAATTTAGATCGCCAACAAGGATTATTTCTTTGTCCTCAGAGTCTATTCTACTGATTATCTCTTCAATTTTAACAAAGAAGGAAGGCTCGGAGGGTCAGAATTAGCCTGGAGGCCTGTAGCACACTAACTTGCCACATGGTCTGCGAATTTCAAGACAGATACCCTCAATACCTTCTAAATCTTGTCGAATAAGATAATTGATCGTAGACCTGATGTAAATGGCGACACCACCGCCCTGACGGTTTCTATCCTTTCTTAATAGTCGATAAAAATGCGCTGGAAGATGAATTAACTGCTGAAGAATGTCGTCATGTTCTCAAAACGTTCAGCAATGGGACGTCCCCTGGGGAAGACGGTTTCACAGTTGAGTTTTGCGTTCAGTTCTTTGAGCTTCTTACGCCTGATTTG